CAAAACACCAAAATAACCAGATCTGCATTCCATCCTCTAAACTCTCCTATGTGCCCCAAGTGGTTGAACAAGATGTACTGAATTTGTGGGCTTTCTTGTCTTTTGGTTTCTGCCTTTTAAAGCCTCAGAGAATTGGAATGCCATACGTCCCTCTGACCTCTTATTTATTTTGCTGTTTTGCAGAAACTTTCCTTTATGAGGGGCCCAACCAACATCCTGCTACAGTTCTTCTACCCACTTCCTACCCTCTCTTCCTTGCCACTCCAGGTGAAAGCTCTCTTGGTTAACAGCACCATCTCCAGTTTTCTCTTTCACGCACCCACAGCTTCCAAGCGATGCTTCTATGAAACCTAACTCAGAGCCCCACATGACGGTGTCATTCGATTTTCTCAAGGGACAATGAATGACAACTGAGTCAAAGTGACAATATCTGAAAATTGGCTTTCTCTAAAGGGAAATACTTTTACCCAATGCACAGAGTAAAAATTAATATTTTATTTGGGTGATAGGTACAATGCCTAAGGATGAACCCAGAGTTCCTAAGTTCCTGCATATAAAGAGTAGGCTCCGAGTGCTGGGGTCACCTACATCCTTTACTTTATGGGGTACCCTATGCTCTCTCACTTCTGGAAAAGCCCATGCTACTTCCTTTCTCCCTGTCTCTCGAGTCTCTGTGTCCCTCTCTCTCTCTCGTTATAGTCCCTAAGGAAAAAAAAGTATACTGCATCTAAAAAAGAAAGGAAAGAATTTGCTTTACACCTCTGAAATATCTCCCTCACGTCAAAGTAGAAATTATTGCTATAGGTGCCTGGAGAGATAGTACAATGGATAAGGGGCTTGCCTTGCAGGTGGCTGAACCCAGTTAGGTCCCTGGCATCTCATATCGTCCCCTGAGCACTGCCAGGAGTGAGTATCCTGAGTTCAGAGCCAGGAGTAACCCCTGAGCACTGCCAAGTGTGGCCCAAAAGCAAAAAACCAAAAGGGAATTATTGCTGTAAAAGTTTTGTCCAAGACAAATTTCAAACCCTGATATTCACAAGTCCAGTGAGGAATCTAGCCTGAAATTATTTTATAGCTTTATCTGACTCAAAAGTTAAACCATTGTAGCATAGCAAACAAGCTCCTGCTGAAGTACAAAAGTAACTCTATGAGTCATGAGTAGGCCTGGACCAGGAGTCCTCAGCGCTAGCACACAGGACCCCTAAAACCTTGGTAGTTCATTCCCATTACAGTATCAGCTACTCAGGCTCTACTGTTGGAGTAGGTTTTTTTTGGGGGGGGGCTTTTTGCTTTTTGGGGGTCATACCCAATGATGCTCAAGGATTATTCCTAGCTCTGCACTCAGGAATCACTCCTGGCAGTACTTGGGGGACCGTATGAGATGCCGGGGATCGAACCTGGGTCGGCCGTGTGCAAGGCAAACACCCTACCCACTCTAGCCACCTGCTATTGGAGTTTTAAGAAATTACCCTTTCAGGGCCACAGAGATCCCTCAAGGCTTTGAAGAATATGCTTCACCTGTGTCAAGTCCAGGGTTGATCCCCAAAAGCACTTGGTTCTCTAAGTACCACCAGGAGTGGCAAGAGAGCAGTACCCCAGTGTCTTCCTGCTCCTCTTCCTTCACCACACCACCACCCACTGCACACAAAATATTATCATTTCAGTTAAAAGAATCTGCTCTCCTTACTTAGAGTCTTGGCATCACTCTACATCTAGTTAAAATTTGCGTTGAAATAGGTAACCATATAGATAATTGAAGTTTAAAAAAATTTTTTTTGCCTTTTTGGGTCACACCCAGCAATGATCAGGGGTTGCTCCTGGCTTTGCACTCAGGAATTACTCCTGGCAGTGCTCAGGGGACCATATCGGATGCCGGGGATTGAAGCCTGGTCGGCCGCATGCAAGGCAAATGCCCTACCCGCTGTGCTATTGCTCCGGCCCCTGAAGTTTAAAATATAAGAGGCTTAAGGGGCCAGTGATAGTACAGCAAGCGAGGTGCTTGGCATGCATGCTGCTGACCCAGATTCAATCCCTGCCACTACTATGGTCCCCTATGGACACCGGGAGTGACCTCTGAGCACTGCCAGATGATTCCCCACCAAAAAAGACAACAACAAAAAGAGGCTTGAGCCATAGTAGGAAATTTCAACCTCACTACTAGATTCAGTATTTATTTAAGATTCAGAGCAGAATGGACAAGCTTCTACTCCTATCTTCATTCCGTAATATCTGAGTCAGTCTCCTACACCTACTTCTTTATGGAGGATAACGATGAGGATGATGATAATGATGAAAATTAGAAAACTTCCCTGACAAAGAGCAAGAGACCCAGGAGATTGGAATATTCACAAGGCCAGGGTTTGGAATCAGAGGAACGGATTACATCTCTGGCACAATGCCAAAGAAATTATAACAGGAGACCAACTTACAACCTGTGGTTGCCCATCACTTTCCTCAGGAGTGGCCAGAGGAGATGTTAAGTCTTCACCACAGAGTGTTCATTTTTGACATCATCCCCACAGAGTGAATTTAGATTTCTCAATATTTCCTTTAGTGTTATATAACCTTTAATAAATTCTACATTTGCTCTTGTATTTTGCATATGTCAAGCCAAAATCTTAAATCACTTTCAAGTTTCTCCCAAGATTAAAAACTTGCTTGAGAGGAAAAAAAATCATGTCTAAATAGAACATTAAATTATTTTTCCTTTTAGAGCATTTCCCTACTTTTATAACAATCTATATAAGAAACTATATATGAAAGTGAGTGACAGTTTGGTACTGTTTACTGTAGCACATATAATTACCCACCACGTGCGCTAATTTTTTTTTTAATTCACTGCCAAGATTTAAAAAAGAGAGAGAAAAAATACCACCCACAGCATATTTATTTCTAAAATTTATTTCAGGTGACAGGACATCCACAGACTAACAAAATAAACATGACACTAACTTGTCCTCCCAGAGTCTGATTCTACTTCCTAGCAAAAGTCAGTGGCAATTTAGTTACTAAGCCTAGCCTATGAATGTTTGGTTGGGGTGCGTGTGTGTGTGTGTGTGTGTGTGTGTGTGTGTGTGTGTGTGTGTGTGAGTGTGGTTTGATTTTTTTTCCTTTTCAAAGTTAGGGCCATACCCAGTGATACTCAGGAGTTACTTTAGTTGCTGCACTCAGGAATTACTACAGGTGGTGCTAGAGGAACCATATAGGGTGCCGGGGATTGAACCCGGATCGGCTGTGTGCAAGGCAAATGCCCGACCTGCTTTACTATTGTTCCAGGTCCTGCGACTTCTTGCTTCAACAGTCTACCTCTTCTTTGACCTGATATTCTCTACTTTCCTCCTAGCCCACACCCCACACCAAGTCCACAAAACTTTGACTAGAGAGACAGCGCAACAGGTTCATGTGAAAGCTTTGAGGTTTGAGGTACGAGGTTGGGGTTTAATTTCCTGAGCACCAAATGAACAGCCTCCAAGCACCTTGGGCAGCACTGGGTGCAGCCCTCCTAATAAAAATGAACAAACAAATGACAGCAAAATTCCACAAAACTTGAGAACTACTTTAAAAATTGGGGAAAGTATTTGCCACTAGAATACAAAAAAAAAAAAAAAGTCAAGATGGGTATGTCCTCAGAAAGAAAACTAAAAGAGAGATTAAGAAACAGAAGCAGTGACTTCAATGACAGATTTCATCAGTGAGAAGGGAAAGTGCTTTGGGCAATATTCACCAGAAAAACAGAAGAGGGTTCAAATAACCTTGAAAATATCCAGAATTCCAACTGTCCAGGCTCAGTAAAAATGGATGCCAAGCAACTTCATTGATTTGATAGTGCTTGTCATACTGATAACCGTACGGTAAATATTAAACCAAAACTTCTCGGTTGATGGAAGTGCACCTGTCAATGTGTCCACACAGGAATCAGAAACTTGAGGTGGTCAGACAAACCAGAAGGCAATGCAAGGTTTGGTCACCATGTCACTAACATTTTCTGATACACAACTGAAGAAATAGAGGAGAGGGAAAACTGGCCACATCTATTGTTCAACATGTTCTTCTTCTTAAAGTTTCCAAACTTTATTCACCAAAGAAAACCTATAATTAGGTTAAAATATTTTTTATTATATACACACAGTGGAATTTTGAAGACCAGAATTTTATTGTTTAGTGTCTTTTTGAAGTTGAAAGGGTTGCTTGTTCAGGTTGCTGACGTCTACGATAGCAATATAGTATCAGAAATCTTTAACATATAAGCATCTATTTGCTGAACTGAAGCAACTTTTAGTAATGCCATATGCTCTTAAGTTAACCCTTCTATGCACTGTACAAAGCTCGTAACACACAGCTAGTTCATAACCAAATTAGGCTACTACTACATACTCCTCAGACAAACTATTGAATATAAAGATTACATGCATAATCCTACAGCTTTATGAATGCCAAAATGAAAGATATGAGGGTTTGGGATTGAGGAATTCCAGTCTGGCTATAAATCTCAATGGTTGGAACATTTCAAGCTGATCTAACCCTGGAAAGGCTGATTTCTTGGGGAAGGAAGAAATCACATCATTTGAGAACGCTATCTGATGGAAGCTCTATTAAAATCACAATAGATCATAGCTGTCAACTTCAAATAGTGCCTTTCTCCTTAAGAGCTCAAGTTGACACACTGGTGCAACACCATAAATGCAGATGCTACAAAGGGGGCTACAAAGAAAATATAATTTTATTCACAACGGTTTGCATATAAACTTTTCACCATAGTTTGCATATAAACTTTTCCTTCTGCAGACTTTTGGGAAGTTGAAAATAAAGGATGCTAATATGAACACTATGCATCACATCTAAAAAAATGAGAAAACACTTTGACTGAAAATCCATTTAAATGCTAAAAATCTGGGATAATTCACATCCACTGCACTCCAAATTCACCCTTACCTGCCAGAAAAAAATACTCTATGAAATGGAAAAAAAAAATAAGCAGTATTGAATCAATAGCTGGTTACCTTTAAAACTTTGGGCTTCTTTTCCCTCTGGGGCCTCTTGTTTTCCTTTACAACCTAAAAAAAATCAGATTGCAAAATAAGCCTCCTTCGTGAAAAAAAAAAAAAAAACCTCCCACCCACCTACCCCCCCCAAAAAAAAATTTTTTTTTGGCTATTTCTCTGCAAAACTACTTATCCCATTCCAAAGCATCAACACGTTTGCCCAGCAGAACCTCCCGAGCTTCCGTTACAGGTCTGGCTTGCAAGCCACTCCGCGAGCATAACAACGGCAACAAAGATGAAGTCGGGAAATACCCTTTTTTGCCCTCAAAGTCTGCCTTAATTAGCCTCTGCATTCTTCACGGCGAGGCCCACGAGGTAGCCATCTTGCTTGCTTCTGCAGAGGGAGCGGCTACAGGGGGCCTGTTCTGCAAACTGCTTTTGGGGGTGATGATCGCGGTGCTCCCGGGCAGCCCCGGCCTGCCAGCGCCGCCGAGCCGGGCATGCCTTTTGCACAAACAGCCCCTCGCGGTGCAGCCAATGGCAGCGCCGGGCTCGGCGCCTCCGAAGATCCCCGGGCTCAGCCTTCCCAGACAAAGGATCTCCTGTGCGCTCGGCTCGCCAGGCAGGACCCAGGCAGCCACAAGCTGCGACATGGAGTTCGCGGCGCAGGATCTGGCCGAGACCGGGGAGGCTCCTGCAGCAGCCGAGCCGCCCGCCGAGCCCCCGGGGCCCGGCAGCCCCCGATCGATCGATCGATCGATCGATCGCCGGCGAGTCGCCCCGATCCGATCGGCGCCCGCCCGGAGGACAGGTCCGGTCTGCAGGGCGGGGGTGCGCGGGGTGCGCGCGGGGGGCGCGGGAGGGGGCTGGGTCCTGCCTCCCTCGTGCGCGAGGTGGGACGGAGCCCAGGGGGGCCTGGGGCCCGCTGGGACCCGGGAAGGTATGATGCGTTTTGCCTTTATAAGGCAAGCCTTGATATTGGCGATATTCAAGGCGGGGAGGTCATGTGAGGACGCGGAGGCTCAGCGCCGCGGGAACCACACCTCTTTGCAGCAGGCGCCGTGCCCAGAAGCGCTCTGAGTCCTGTCAATAACTGACCAATGGCAAAGGCGGGGCTCGGGAATATTCGGCCGGCCCTTCCAGGGAAAGGACAGGGCGAGGACGCGCAACCGGACAAGGGGGCGTTGGGGGGACGCACTTGCGACCGGCAGTGGCTGGCGAGGAAGAGCCCGGCTCGCCCAGCAGTGCCCAGCAGTGCCGTGACCTTCACTTCCCAGGGGAGCCGGCCCCTCGCAGGAGGCGCCGGATGGAGGTGGACCCGAGGGGCACCCAATGAGGACGGGGTGATCTCCCAAGCTCACCGCCTGTCACGCGCATCTCCAGACGCAGCGGCGCGGAGAGGTCCTAAGAGGCGCCTTTTCAGGCACCTGGCTGCTGGGCACTCGCGCACACCTGGCCGGGCCCTGCACACCTGGCCAGGCCCTCCACCCCGGAGTCAAGGCGGGAGGAGACTGGGGGCTCCCGGGGGCAGCTGGCCAGGCTGTCGGGCACACGAGCTTTGTGCCCTCCCTGCCCTCCCCTGGGGTGATGCAGAAGCAGCAGCAGAGGACCAGGGCAGCTGCGCCGCAGGGAGCTGGCAGGTCCCAAGGTCATGGGCACAGGCAGCGGTGCCGGCCCCCTCGCGCGCGCTGACAGCTGCACAGACCTTAGGCGACGGCTCCAGTTCCAGCCCAGCGGGGCACCGCTTCAGCCCCACGCTGGGGATCTGGCACCCGGCTCACGGGCGGGCGGCGGAGCCAGAGATGGGTTTGCCACTTGCACTGGGACTCAACACCAATTCCCACGACCAGAAGGCAGGGGCAGCGCAGGAGTGCAAGGCCTGGATTTCATCACCCTGGGTCCTGCCTAGTTTCCCTTTCCCTGGTGGCACAGCAGGGCCAACGGGCGGTGTTTCCCACTTCAGCTACCAACTTTTCGGTTTGGTTTGGTTTTTCTGCTTTTGGGGTCACAGCCGGAGATGCTCAGGGTTTACTCTTGGCTCTGCACTCAGGAATCACTCCCGGTGGTGCTCACTGGACCATATGGGAGGCCGGGGATCAAACCTGGATTAGTCGTGCACAAGGCAAACGCCCTACCTGCTGAACTATCATTTTGGCCCACTGACAACATTTTGAACAAATGTAAGAAACAAAATTACAGGGGCGGAGCGATAGCACAGCAGGTAGGGCGTTCGCCTTGCACGCGGACGATACAGATTAGATCCCCAGCATCCATATGGTCCTACAGCACTGCCAGAAGTAATTCCTGAGTGAAGAGACAGGAGTAAGTCCTGAGCATTGCTGTGTGTGACCCGAAAAAGAAAAATATAATAATAAGTAACATCTTTAAAAATGAAAAAAACAAAATTACTTGCTTGCTGGTGAGAAAGTATGAAGATACAAAAAAATGTAAGAATATTGGGGCTGGAGTGAGAGCACAGCAAGTAGGGTGTTTGCCTTGCACGCGGCCGACCTGGGTTCGATTCCCAGCATCCCATATGGTCCCCCGAGCACCACCACCAGGAGTAATTCCTGAGTGCAGAGCCAGGAGTAACCTCTGAGCATCGCAGGGTGTGACCAAAAAGCAAAAAAAAAAAAAGGTAAAGGTAAAGGCCCTCCCGTTGATTGTCGATTTTGCTCGAGCGGGCCCAGTAACGTCTCCATTGGAGACTTTGTTGTTACTGTGTCTGGCATATCGAATACTCTCGGTAGCTTGCCGGGCTCTCCGAGAGGGGCGGAGGAATCGAACTCGGGTCGGCCATGTTGGCCGCTTGTAAGGCGAATGCCCTACCCGCTGAAAAAAAAAAAAAAAAAAAAAAGAATATGGGGCCAGAGTGATAGTCCAGTGGGTAGGGCATTTGCCTTCCATGCAGCTGACCTGGGTTTTATGACCCAGGATCCCATATGGTCCGCTGAGCACTGGCAGGAGTAATTCCTGAGTACAGAGCCAGGAGTAAGCCCTGAACATAATACGGTGTGGCACAAAACAGTAACAAAAAAAAGTAAGAAGATATACGTAAGATATAACTAATTGTAAGAAGTGAAATTACTTTTTTTTTTTTGCTTTTTGGGTCACACCCAGCAATGCTCAGGGGTTTCTCCTGGCTCTGCACTCAGGAATTACTCCTGGTGGTGCTTGGGGGACCACATGGGATGCCAGGGATTGAACCCTAGTCGGCCGCATGCAAGGCAAACGCCCCACCCCACTGTGCTATCGTTCGGGCCCTAAAATTGCTTCTTGAGCAGAAGAGATCATTGAGATAAAAGGTCACTGTCACTATCCTCCCATTGTTCATCAATTTGCTTGAGCGGGCCCAGTAACGTCTCCATTGTGACAATTTCTACTGTGTTTTGGCATACCAAATATGTCACGGATAGCTTGCCAGGCTTTGCTGTGCGGGCGAGATACTCTTGGTAGCTTGCCGGGCTCTCCAAGAGGGGCAGAGGAATCGAACCCCAGTTGGCTATGTTGAACACTTGCAAGGTAAACACCCTTCCCGCTGTGCTATCACTCCAGCCTGAGATTTGCCTTAAATGCAGCTGGGGGGCTGGAGCCATAGCACAGCGGGTAGGGCGTTTGCCTTGCATGCAGCCAACATGGCCAACACAGGTTCGATTCCCAGCATCCCATATGGTCCCCTGAGCACCCCCAGGAGCAATTCCTGAGTGCATGAACAAGGAGTAACCCCTGAGCATCGCCGGGTGTGACCCAAAAAGCAAAAAATTAAAAAAAGTTGTTTTCAAAAGAGACTTGAATAGTTTTCCTTCCCACCAGTGGTGGCTGAAGGCTCCTTTTCCCCCAATTCCCTGCCATCACCGATTGTTTTGGTTCTTTATGTGTGTCAGTCTCCCTGGTATGAGATTATATCTCACTGTTTATATCATTAATTTGCATTTCCCTGATAAGTGATGCAGAACTTCCCCTCCCCTTGCCCCTCATTTATTCACTGGCTTTTCTTTGTAACTTTAAATTTTACTCTAAAGCTACAGGAATCAAGACAATATGGTACTAGACTGAGGATGGAATCACAGACCAATGAAGTAAAATTGTGAGCCCAAGAGACAGTAACACCTCACTGACTACTTTATTTAAGTGATCTTTTGTATTGGGTCTCTTTCAACAAATGTGACTTTTGAAAATGTTGTTTCTACCTAAGGGCCACACCTGCCACGCTCAGGGCTGTTTTCTCCCAACTTAGCCCATGGGTCATTCCTGTGGTGCTGAGCAGACCAGGCAAAGCTTAGGACTGGGTTCCTGTATGCTGTGAAGCAATGCTTGTTTGAACTTGTGTTTGGGGCCATTCCCAGTGGTGCTCTGAAGACCATTCAATGTCAGGGATTGAACCGGTGCAAGTAGCAAAAGCATGTAGCAGAATATTCTGTTTGGGGATTTAACGGGGGGGACACATACAGACATCTTCAGGGGACTATATGCGGCCCCAAGTATCAAGCCAGGGTCAGTCCCATGTGAGACAAGTTCCTTAACCCCTGTACTAGCTCTCTGACACTAGTGTAATGTTTTGAACGTTTGTCCATGTTGCAAGTTTTTTTTTTTGTTATTTGTTATGGTTTGGGGGTCAAGTCAGCAATGCTGAGGGTTTCCTCTTGGCCCTGTGTTCAAGGCGAACTCCCGGCAGGTACAGGGAACCATAAGAGTTCAAGGGATCAAACCCAGATTGACTGCATACAAAGCGAGTGTCCAAGCACTGTACTATCACTCCAGCCCCAGAGAGATTAATTTTTAATGCTAAATAATACTCGATTGTATGGACACATCACATTTCGTTAAGCAATTTTTTGTTAATAGGCATCTGGGTTGTTTCTGCCACTTAACAGATAGACATGGAAAATGGGTGTCTATCTGCATCCCCGTTTTCAGACTTTACTGAGCAAAATTGTTGGATCCATTGAGAGCTCTGTTTAATTTTGAGATACATTAAGACACTTCACAGCCACTAATGCCAACTTTATGTTCCTGTCAGCCATAAACGCAGGGGTAGCCCTAAATTGAACCCAATTAGAGATTAGGACACA